GAGAGCTGCTGTCGGCCCGTGTGCGCTGTGTGCCAACAAGCTTCCTTTGGCTGTTCCCTTAAGAATGACCTGTAGGAAGGATCTGTGCAGAATAGCAGCTCAGCCTTCTTGAGGTCTGACATTCCTGTCTGAAATCAACAGCCCAGTCCCCAGCTATACAGTACTGTCACCCTAGTACAATCTCCTCTCCTCAAGCCGTGAGGTGCCTCTTCTCTTGCTGGAGCTTAGCCGGAGAGGGAAAGTCAAAAACCAGTGCAGAAACCACAACCGCAGAAGACATGCATGACCACATGGAAAGAAAGCCAACGCACAGTGCCTGCGCAGGCCAGAATCACTCCTACGGGCGCTGTTCCCGAGACGGAAAGTGTCATTTGTAAGTCTGGACCCACCTCCAGTCTTTTTTTCTTTATTGTCTTTACTGAGGAGGGTGCAAGGAGCGCTGTAGTCAAGACTGTGCCGTTCCCAGCCCCACCGAAAGGAATCCTCTTAATTCCAGAGCACTCCCAGTCCAGATGTTCCTGGGCAGGGCCAGCTCCATTCCAGATGTGGCCGGACAGCTGCAGTGAGGATCTCAGATGTGGTCAGGGTTTCTTTTTTGAAGTGGTCAGTTTACAAAAGAAACCGTAATCAGCCCTGGCATTACTGATGCCCAGCTCCCCCGAAACAGTTGCTCAAGTCGCATGACCTTGCTGAACGTGCTGAAGCATTTCCAGGAGTCAAACTCCACCGCAGGAGCAGTGTGGGGGCAGGTCAGGAGGCCATTGGCTTTTATTGTCTGTCATCTGTCAGGTGCAGAGCAACAGTTTCTGCCTTATGTCGGTGTGTGTCGAAACACGGACAGTCGATCAGTTCACTTACAACGAACCTGAAGTGTAGTGCTTCGAGGAAGATGTGCGCCGAGACGCACGACTTAATAATTTATCAGTACAAAAGGTTTAATTACAAAGGATTACTGCCTGGGGACTGTGAGGAAATGAGCTGTTGGCTGAGCTCTGTGTGCAGTGCATTCTGCGCTTCACTTTCTTGGCTCCTGTTCTCCTATTTTACATGCTCCCTTTGAAAAGAATCAATTAAGAGCTGATCTGCGCTTTAATGTATGGAAACAAAAACAGGCAGAGGGAGAAAGGCCTTCTTGTTGGTGGTAGCAGATTCAACACCTCTTCCCCAGAAAAAAAAAAAACAGGTCATCCTCCATATACAAATAATTTATGTTATGTTTTGATCAGCTTTCTGTCATTAGGGATGGGAAAGGGACTAGCAACACAATCTCATAGCTCCAGACTCCGGGGTTCGATTCCAAATGTGGTCATCTGTCTGTGTGGAGTTTGCGTGCTCTCCCTGTGTTTGCCAGTATTCTCCCACCTCCCAAATACACACAGCTTAGGTTTGATTGTCTGTTCTTAATTGTCCCTTTCCAGGGGGTTGTTCCCGTTATAAGCAGTACTGGCTATATGCCCATAGAGAATTACAATCAAACGAGCGCCATGGTCCAAATTCTCTTATTTGTGGCTGTTCTGTTCTGACTCCTTCCTTTCCTGCCCACCCCCTGCCTCTCTCTCCCTTCTCTCTGCCTCATTCCGTCTCTCTCCAAGCTGCTGTGTTGCCAAGGCGACACTCGGTTATATCATTTAGTTCACCTAACGAGCTCCACGCTTTCCGGCTTATTTTTAGGCTAGGAATGTTCCTAACTTGCAGCTTATTGTGGCAGCCTGCTTCTGCAGAGCCACCATTAAATAGCAATAAAAAATGAGCAAAAATATGTGTCTCTATCACCACCCATTTGGCCACACAACCAATCATCCACGCAAATAGATGAAAAAAACTTTGCTTTTCTTGAGCTTGGCCTACATATCGATTCAAGCAATACACAAAAATATCAGTTCAATCTTAAGGCATCTCAACATTTTCTCCTGCTTGGACAGATTAGGGACTGTAGCCATGTGAGGTTGTCTGCACAAGTTTACAAGTCAGGTGTCTTAATTACAGTAGGTCAGAGGTCATGTGTCTCTAGACTGAACTCTGACTTCAAAACAGATGGGTAAAACATTGTCAGCACAAACTGTCCCCCAGCATTATGACTTAATATGGGAAAGGAGAGTGAGGATAAGTGTGTGGGAGAGAGAGAGACGGGCAAAGCGTGTGTTATTGTCTGCAGAAATAGCTCTGTGTGCGTCCGTGCACATCATCGTGAATCAGTATGCGTATTTGTTGGCATGCGTGTGTACAGCTGTGTTGAAAAAACAAACAAAGTGCCACGATAATGAGACAAATTCCAGCTGATACCAGTTAGAGAAATCAGAACATCAGTTCACAGAGCAAACTGACAAATCAAATCCAGAGACAGTTTTCAATCAGTTCAAAAGTCCTCACTCACTCTGGAAACAAGATCTCTGTCATGTCTTCACTTCACAGTCTGGAGTTCAGGATTCTAAAGGAAAGGAAGAAGTGCTGGATTTCTTTTTAGAGCTACGTGTTTAACAAGCCTGGCTTGCCTGGCTTGCCTGCCTGTGTCCGGCAGTAAAGGTTTTTACAGCCACCTGGGGGAGTAAATGTCACCCCCCCCCCTCAGAGAGCTGTGCTGTGGCAGCTGGGTGATTAATGGGTCCGGAAGGGGCAGGGTAGCCTGAGTGTGTTTGCCCAAGTGCTTTTCTGTGCACAGTCCTGCAGTGTGATTACACAGCTCTAGGTGAGCCACCGCAGCCCTGGAGATCAATTGCACTGAAATAGTTTTCAGTGTCCAGCTTTTACATATAGTGACAGTTTGAAGCTTGTGGTCGTTAATGGACAAATTGTTCGATGTTGGGGCTAGAAACGTAAGGGAATATTTCGAGCCTTAATGAAAATAATTGTTCTGAGAGGGACATCCTTCCTGGTGTAACCTGGCAGTAAACTCGTTTTAAAAGAATGATTTATGACCATTATTGACTGGGGCATTTCTGGAGGAAATGCTGGAACATTAGCAGTGCAGTGTCGTGGCCTGCTTATCAGTGCCTGAGCTAATTCTGTGGCCATGCCGAATGAGTGCGACCACAGAGAGGCGAGACACTAAAGATTCAGCACCCGTCCAGGCAAATGAGATACTTCCTCATATCTCCTCTTATCGCCTTGTAACTCCTAACGTGATCTTGGACGGATGCATGAATCCACCAGACAGGAGCCGATGCGCTCCCTGAGCAGATCCGACAGCTAGCTCGTTCGCCTGAACGTGGGGCGCACATCTCAGCACCGTGTACTGACAAACTGAAAAATGCAAGAGCCGAGAGAGCCCGTGTGCAGGATTTTGGGATTCTTTGCGAGTGCGTGCTGCAGGTTCAGAAAGAGGAATCCCACGCTGCGTTTCTGCATGTTTTGAAATTGTCCCACGCCGCAGAGCAGTCCTGTTTCCCAGCTGGCTTGGGATGTGGCCGCAGTGTCTTGCCACCCAAGTACAATGCTCAGGGTCAGAACTGCAGAGGTTCTGGTTGGGACATTGCTGCCCACAGCAGACCATGAAAAATCCAGTCAGTGGTTAGGCAAGGTTGAACGCCTCATTGCTTGAATTGGAGCTCAGTGATACAAATATATGTATGCACAGCGCAAGATCACATCATAAATATACATCATGACATTTCAGTTCCATGTGTAATTGATTATGAAGTTACCAGGCTTATCCAAACTGCTGCATCATGAAGACTGGGCTCTGGGGAGCCGTGTCTTTGAACAAGCCAGTTTAATTTATGGGCACCCTGCACAGAAGTTTGTTTTTTTTTTCAGAATCAGTGATTGATTTCTGCTTTTAACGCCCCTGAACTCGCAAAAGGAAAACATCGTTCAAGTCCAGGATCTGTGGTAACCTCCCCCTCTCCCTGCCCCCACCAGCCGGATTTGAATGCGGCGGCGCACGCGTGCGCCCCGAAACGCGGTGACACCAATTCCCCCGATTCCCTGCGCCCCCCGAGCCGCACTGACATGCTGTCTGTCACAGGCGTGACGGGGGACCAGCAGGTGGGCGTGGCTGTCACTCCAGCGGCGTGATGAGTGACATCCAGAGAGCTGAGGGCTGTTTCTGAAGAAGGCCTTCAGATTCCCTGCAGAGGAGCCATCAGATTTTCTTTTCTCCCCAAGAAAAAGTTAATAAGAAGAAGTACGATTTCAAAGAAATCTGCCATTTAGTTCTCTCGGTTCTCGCTGAACCGTGCCAGCCAGCGAATGGCCAGAATGGAAACAAAGCCAGAGAAAATGATGCACGTGCTGAAGATGGTTCCAGTTCTCCATGAAACCCAGCCCAGGCCTTGTAGGGAGACTTCGGCTTGAACTGCATGCCCCTAAGGAAGGCAAATCTCCACAAACATCGTCAATCTTCTTCTTTTTATATAGCTTTGGAATCGCTCTTTTTTTTTAAATCAGGTCACCATCCAGTTGCCTGTGCACAGCTCCTCAGACATGCCCACCTGTCTAACGCCTTCACCGGTTGACATGCTGCGTGCTCCTCTGTACTTTCAGAGGAGAGTCAGCGCCAATCCCAGCTCTGGCCTGTCTTGCACTGATGTCACTGCGTGTCTCCGGAGTCTCCGTTTCACCAAGATCCAGGAATATCCTGGCTGACTCAGGCCCAGCCTGTCGGCACTCTCCTGGATGGGCATCACTGCTGTGGAAATCCTGGTCACAGCTGGCCATCTGGCCCAGTGGACTCCCCCTGCACTCTGATCAAACACATGAACAGATTGATCCGCTCGATAGCCCTTTTAGACAGCTCTCTTCCCAGTGCTTCTTCGCTGCATGACCTGTTGGTCTAAATGCAGCAGTTCTCAGTCCGTATCAAATCCTCTTCTGCCTCCACACCATACCTGGCTGTACTAGTCGTGATCAGCAGGGATCTGTGGAGTTTTTCACTTCTGAGTCTCAACGCACAAACAGGGAGAGTCACCACGTGTGGCCGCGGCAGACAGGGCTGTGACCCAACCCATAATTGGTGCTCTGTATTTCACTCCTTTTTTTTTCCTGTGTGTTTTCTTTTGCAGAACAGTCTGAAGGGTACTCCCTGGGCGCTGATGGCCTCTCTGGAGCAGCAAGTGGGGGAGCTGAGGGTCGACGCCGAGACCGCCTATGCCGAGCCCCCCTCTGATGTGGGAGACAGCCGGCCGAGCTCAGGTACTGGGGCAGCAGCTGCTTCCAGCTGTCTTGTACCATCCAGCTCAAATCAATTTGCTGTGATGATGGTGAGCAGATGGAAGTGGCAACGTTAGTGTGAAAATCCTGTTCTCTCCAGTGGGGCAGACGTGACCAGCATGGAATGCCTGGAAAGGAGCAGGCCAGTCTTTAGCTGTAGGGGTGTGTTGCTTTCTGTTGTTATTAGAATCTTCTGGGAAACAGATAAGGCTCCTATTGCACAGCAGGTAGATCCCCATCAGGTTATTTTCTACCTTCAAGATCTTCCAAACCAGAGAGGGAGGGCTTTCCATGTAATATTCAGTTCAAAACAATATTAGACATATCACTTTTCTTCATCGAAGGCCTAAGGCTCAGAGAGCCTTAGTAAGGGTCCAGCTGTTACAGCCTGCGAAACACTTCTGTTTTCCTTGCTTTTAATGCATAGCAATTCTCTGTGTTGATGTGAAGATTTGTGTCTCTAGCTGTGCTTGTGTGTTGTATTTGGCCTCCAGGTTTTTACGAGTTAAGTGAAGGCCCTTCGCCTGTCGGCCTGTCGGATTCCTCTGTCTTCAGGGAGTTCCAGCCCAGCTACTCCTCCCGGGCCGGTGGGCCGAGCGACGCCCGCGTCAGTTATGCCAGCGAGCGGCCCAAGTCAGTCGGTAAGCTGACGCTGGGAGAGGCGTCACCCCTCCCAATTCCTTCAGAAAAAACCTGCCACAGAGGCAGGCTGGTAATCAAAGGGAAACAGAAATGAGTGTCTTAAAACAACTTTTAAGTTGCCTGTGCCTGCGTTTCAAGTCTTCTTAATGTGATGTTCAAGAGGATTTTTAGGAAATACAAGCATCTGGGCACCCTAGAATTCAGGTCCTAGTGAAGGAATGCTATCAGTAGCACGTCCGATAATAGAGTAAAAAACAGGATAGTGATTTATCAAGTAGTGCTTACAATATGCTTCTATCACATGCAAAGAGAGTAGCAACATATATATATATATTCTTTAGTGAAGCTTGCACACAAGGAAAAAAAAACGTGAAGTAACATCTGGCCACTGTATAAGGGTAAGTATTCTTTAATTGCGTCAAGCAGTGGGTAATTAAGCTGGGTTTGCAGGTTGGTCATGAGACACATGTGTTAGGCCTTCCAAGACAAGGCACCTCTGTTTACCCAGCTAGCAGCATGGCGCAGGGAGAGAAAGGGCTTCTGTGCTAGAGACTGCGCAGACACACGCTTGTGTACAAACCAAACACACACTGCCTGGGCATCAGGGCCTGTCTCTACTGCAGTTTATACGCTGCCAAATAGTTCTTTTATTTTCTTTCTAACTGGATGTGTGCTGCATTAGGGCACGCCTCGGTCCACTCGGTCAGATTTTCAAACTCTTCGTGGGCAGCCAGTTTGTGTCTCCAAACTGGATGATTGAGATTGTTTTGAAATGCTGAAATCTGTCTGAAAGCCTTTAAACATGGTCTCTGGAGTTCCCTTCAGCTCATAAGCTGTGTTCAACTGCTTGGAAATCTGGTATTGGTTTTCTTTAGAAGCTGGTTTGTCGGTAGGCTCTAAGGAAAACTGTCCCTTGTGTTGTTGTCGGTGCCATTCGTGTGACAGACTCAGTTCATCCTAGCAGTGCAGTAGCAGAGTCCCATGCAATGCTGCACGCGGAGTTCGGGCGCCCAGGGTTGAGCTGATGGCCCAGTGAGTAAACCTGCATGTTTTCCTCCGTGTTCCCAGGGGACCTCTTTGTGGCCAACCGGGAAGGCTTACTGGACAGTGGTCCTCGCACCATGGTGCCCCGCTCCTTCTCCGCCCCTTACCCACGCTCCCTGGAGGGCATTTCGGAAGGGACCGCTGCCGAGGAAGACCGCTGGCCCTGGGACCCACCATACCTGGGGGAGTTTGAGGAGGACCAGCTGTACCCCGGGGATCAGCCCACGTCGGAGGACATACAGCAGGCCCACCGCGTCGAGAACTACATCCTGGGCCTGATCCAGAGGAGAGCCCTGCCTCTTCGCCCTTCCAAACCCCGCACCAACCTCAACTCTGAGCCCCACAAAGGCCTGGCTCGGCAGAACAGCCTGTGCCGGAGGCCCCTGGAGCCGGGGTACCACCAGGGTGGTCATGGTGCCATCTCCCCCAGCTACGAAGGCCCCACCTGGGGCTGTAGGAGCCTTGATGAGGATGGGTATACTGGAATGCCTTTGAACTCTGATGAGAGCTTCTCCTACATTTATTCCAGGCCCAAGCCCACACCTTTGGCTGCAGTGCGCCCTGCTTCCCTAGACTATCCTTGCAGTGCTGCTTTGGAGCCAACCAGCAGTGACCAAGAGTCCCCAGAACACTACCAGGGTTATGCAATGCACAGATCGCCTCCAGCTGATGACCAAATGGTCAGTGCCCAATACATTCCAGCTCAGCAGGCTTGTCGGGCTCAGCAGTCCAGTCGGAACTCCTCCCAGAGATCTTCGGGCAAGCCTGGGAAGAGCCGAGCAGAGGTTGTCCGCTATTCCCCAGAACGCTGCAATCCCAGACCCAAAGGTACCCCCAAGAAATGCCGCTTCACCGAAGACAAGCCAACTCCCCGGAAGCCGGGAAGGAAAGCCTGCCGATCCCAGTCGGAGAACAGCCTCTTTGGCCAGAGGATGGCTTTGGATCGAAAGTACAACACAATAGATCGAGACGGGGGTGCCCGAGGATGCCAGTCTAGGCAGAGGCGCCAGCAACCAGGCAACACCTGCTACCGAAAGTGGAGATCCACCCTGGAGATCAGCCAGGATGAGGGGGAGATCCTGCCGGGGAATCAGGCCCCAAGACGCCTTCGCAAGCCCCCTCGTCAGCCCCCTCCCTACCCCTACAACCATCCTTATCCTGAGACTGACTTCCAGGAGCGTGCTCCCCTCTGCCGGCCTGAAGAGGGGTACCCCACCCCCTGCCTGGGAGACTCCGAGTCGAGCCTGAGTGAGGCTGACTCCCCGGGCTCCAGCTCCCTCTCCAGTGATTCGGATGAGAGTGGGGGGCTGGTGTGGCCCCAGCAGCTGCCCCCGCAGCTGGCTCGGCCCCCCTCACCCTCCTCTCCCCCCTGCGGCCCCCAGCCGAAGGCCTTCATCAAGATCAAGGCATCCCATGCACTGAAAAAGAAGATCCTTAGATTCCGCACTGGCTCGCTCAAGGTCATGACAACTGTCTGAGAGCTGTCTCCCAGACCTGACAGATTCACCCTTGAAAGCTTGAAATATATATATAGATTTGTGGAGACAGTGATAGCAGAATGACAACTTTAAGTGCTTCAGTGTTCTGTTTCGTCATTCTGTTTGCTCTGCTGCAGTGATTTCTGGATTTAAGTACCATCTGATGTGGCCTCACGGGAGAAAAGTCTAATTCTTTAACCTGGGTCAGGTGAAGTGGAGGATTTTTCTCTGACAAAGATTTAAAACAGCACCCAAACTGGCACTCCCCCAAAGGCAAACTGAGAGGCCCGTGAGTCACGTCTGTGCTTTAGCTGGGTCTCTGTTAATGTCTTGACCTTGTTCAAGACCAGGCCAAGAGGTGGCTGCCTCAGCTCTGGCCGCAGGGTCTCTTTCATGATGTCATCCTTCCCATCAGCTTATCTCGTTCTCACTGCGAGTGTCGTCAACAAGGGTCTCAAGGAAAGGGGATTGGCTGAAAAAGTGACGTTCTACGACACAAGAACTGATTTCATTTAGAGGGACATCAAAAATATCTGCATGCTACAAAGTAAAGGTAGACAGTTAAATGTGTATTTTGTCCTGCAGATTTTGTGAAAGTGTAGTGTCATACACATCCCCATCGAGGACCAGGCATCATATTGGTTACATGTCTGGAATAGGCAGAGCCCTACAGAGGACATACTTATCAGTATTTCATGCACATTTTCAAGTTTTTGCTCCACATTTCGGTAAGGGTTCTGCAACCCAACCCTTATTGGAGACGCTCGGAAAAGACTATCAAAATGATCATATTAATAATCATCATGCCTCTGACTCAAATAGACAACTTGTGCCTCCCGTGCAACACCCTCCCTGCCATTTCTAGATTATGAGAAGGTAAACCGCAACATGGTCATCAACCTACAGTCGGCACAAATTCACCAACAGGCGACCAGTTCGGACTGACTACCAGCCCTACACAATGCTGGTTGCTTTGGATCTACTAGGGGAAGTATGACATTGCTCAGTTAAAGCAGCTGACGAAGTCTTCAGCACAGCACTGCCACTGGGATCCCATGGACCTGCCTGCTGGGCTGAGCTTGATGAATCTCCTTTTAGATTTCAGTGACACAGTAGAGTCCTTCTGGCCCCAGCATCTGTGCGGTGTCACAGCTCTTGTATATATCTGTACATACCTTCCTGTGGCCTTGTATTTATGAATGTGGTCTGTAAATAAAGCTGTGATATTTGACACAGAAGCTGGCTGAGTTTGTTCTCCAGAGTGGAAGAAAACAAGCCCGTTTTCTAGTTCGCAGCTGATTGGTCCGCGGATCTCTTCCCGGCCCTTGTTGTTTCTTTAAAGAAGCCAGGGTATCGCTTTCTACAACTGGGCTGGGTAGCCCGGGCGGAGCAGTGGCACACTGGAAGGTTGCCAGTTCAAATCCTGTGGCCGGCAGAGGAATCCTACTCTGTTGGGCCCCTGAGCAACGCCCTTAACCCCAACTGGTCCAGGGGCGCTGTACAATGGCTGACCCTGTGCTCTGACCCCCAGCTTCTCTCCCTGTCTGTGTGTCTCATGGAGAGAAAGCTGGGGTATGTGAAAAGATGAATTCCTAATACAAGAAATTGTATATGGCTAATAAAGTGATCTATCTCTCTTGAACGACACTCCCACAACCCCTTGCGTTGTGACATACCTGCTGCCCTGGCCTAATTGAAGACACTTATCCATTTGCTTCTTGAAAGAAACTAGGGTATCAGTTTTAGGGCTTGGTAGCTTGATCCATGCTCCCACAATCTGCCCTTTTAGACTGAATTGAGTTCCCTTTGTCTGCGTGCGTTCAGGCGAAGAATTAGTCTGGTTGCTCTCCTTTGTGCTGCCTCAAGAGTTGCAATGCAGTGCCTTTCCTGTAGCATGTGGACCAAAACAAAACACAAATATATCCTGATGTCCGTTGATATAACGCAACATACACTCTCTGCTCTATATCCAGTCATTTGTGGGTTTTATTTATTACTCCCCACACTGTCTCTTTAAACAAAGCGATGAGTCACAGCTGTTTCTGAGAGGAAGAACCGCAGAGAATGCAGTTGGTGGCAATGACGGTCATTACCACTGTTCTCTGCTGTCACGGACATTGGGGGAGGGCGGGTTCGTGCAGGATCCCTACAGCTGGCCAAGCCATTTCCCGACAGATCCAGGAGCGTGAACATTGAAATATGGGTCGGAGGTGTGTGTCCCCTACCACGGAAAACGTGCCTCCCACCCCCCACCGAGTTCTCGGCCACCACTTGACACCGCCCTGAGACAGTCCTTACTTGTCCCAGCGACAGGTGTGACCACAAAACAGGGCCTGTACAAACCCAGTGATCAATGGAAGCACCCATGTGGCGCGCGTGGTGAAGAGCCCAGTAATCGGGCAGTTTCATCTAGACCTCTCGCCCACCGTCCCTCTCTGGTGGTATCGAGAAGCCTGTCGGTCGCTGCAATCTATAACGCGAGGCGTGGCAATCGAAAAAGGCTCGTGGCCCGTGTGGCACCGGAGAGCCACACTCGCCGCCAACTGCCAGCAGGCTGATGAGCTGCGTCCACTTCAGCTGAATCGCAATGCGCTGTGCGCGCAAAGGTCAGAGGTCAGATCCCGTCTGGCACGGGAAATAATCAGACCAGCACCAACATGGTGAATGGTAGCGGATGCAAGAGTCGGGGTATGTGGCCATTAAGAAAACTAAGAGAGCTGTGTAGCAGCTCTCAAAGGATCAGACACCAGGAACTCAGTGCCATCCTCCATCACGGATTTGAAATGACTTGTTTTTTTTAAAAGAAATAGCAGCAGACTGGAATGTCATTCACAGGTATCTGGGCGAAGGAATGTGCTTTAATGTAAACACTTCTTAATCTGTTTCCCCCCCCCACACACACACACACCTCCCTGGAGACCCTAACGAGATAATTATCCCCAGCTGTGTCATAATGAGTCAAAGCCAGATTCCCTCCAGAGAAACCAGATCAGTAGGAACTCAGGGGAGGGGGAGCACAGTGCTAGTTCTGCATGTTTTCAAAAAGCAAGAAAACAAAAAAAAGGCAATTGATATATGAGAATAAATAAGCAGTAGGTCTAATTCTCCGAGGCATTTGTTTTAAACCGTATCTCGCACACCTCTGGGATTTCTTTGCATAAAAGAGATTCCCATCCCACCCAGGTGTTCAGTGTCTCAAGAGTAATTCGAGGAATTCTGGTCTCCCAACCACACTCTCTCAGAGTTCCCTTTCATAAACACGTCTTGCCAGACCAGCTGTAAATATCGTGTGTGCAAGAGACCTGCAAAAAGCTGCAGACTCACTGGCTCCGCGGGGGCAGGACTGGGAACCCCTCGTCTAGGCTTTTGGGACCCCTGGACCACAGCTTTCTCCCAATCGAGCTCCTTCAAACCTTTCAGATTGTTTTTTTGGTCTGGAACTGTCAGAGATTTGTAATGTGCCTGTAGGCATCTGTGAGCAACTAAGAAATGGCAAATGTCTTTGTGAGCAAAAAACAATCAAATTATTAAGTTTATTATTAGGTGAAGCAACTGAGAGAGTCCTACAGGATGGAAAAACAGCAGCGACAGGGTTCCAAAGATGCTCTCTGCCCTAGATCCCAGCCATCATTGATCATCCACAAAATCTCCTTCAATGATATCTCAAAGCTGACCAGACAGGAAGTGCTGCCGGGGGGAAGCAAATCGGCGCGCAAGTGGTCAAAATCCATTCAAGCCGATGTAGCGTGTAACACTGATAAAGCTCCCCTTCACAGCCCCAGCCATTCCGCTCCCGAGTTCAACAGCAGAATCGGACAGCGCGAGAGGAGCAGGAGGTGGGAGTGAGCGAGTCTTGGCATCGCGGGGAAGTGGGAAACAGAAACCACTTTTTAGAAGTTGCTGGAAGAGCCACCCTCCTTTCCCCCCACTCCGAAGAGCTGTCTGAGGTTCTCGAAAAGAAAGAGGCTACTGTCGCCCCCCCTCTCCTCCCCTCCATCTGGAGACAGTTATGTAAGCATGTTCCCTTCAGCCCAGGAACCTTGAGCATTTCCTGTAAGGGAGAAAGAAATGGATGTTTTTATTTCTGGGGTGGGGGCAGACACTGAAAGAGAAAGAGGGGGAAAAAGCAAAATGGAAAGAAGGAGACAGAGAGAGGAAAAGGGAGAACATGAGCCGAGGATCAGTGCCAACCCCATTAGAGGCTTCGGAAAACGAAACAGACCCATGTTTATATGCGCACAGATGCTTGTCATTTTGAGAGCAAAAGGGAGGTTGTTCAGATTTTGTGACGCTTGTATCACACTGTTTCTTTTCTGCACGCGGACGTCCTCATAGACTTGACAGAGACAGTGCCACTTCGTGGGATAAACACATCAGGGCCAAAACAGCTAGCTCATGCATCAGTCAGGGCAAATATCTAAGGGACATCTCCTCACGTCTCTAAGCCTTCTATATTTACTGGGCCTCAGCTGGACTGTACCCCAGAATAGCTCAGTCCTGCTTTCCTCTCACTCCCCTGTAAGCAGCCTTATTTCTCTTTATTTTTATTTTATTCCGGCGCTGTTAACTAGCACAGCAGTTGACAGTCAAGGACCACCCTGCAGTCTGGAAGGCGCGGCGTGAGGAAACACCGGGAGACAGGGAGCGCAGCAGTGAAAGGGTTATTCCTCGCCTGCTCAGCGCCACATCTGGCTCTGATTAGAGCTGGGGAGGGGAGAGAGGGGGGTGGGGGGGAGAGGCGAGTCCAGAAAGTTGCTGTAGTGCAGCTTGAAAGCGGCAGATTTCTTCATCCAACCTGACCACCGCGGTTCGGGGAGCGAGCGAGAGAGAGAGAGACGGCACAGGGAGGGGGACAGATGGAGGGGTCATGCAGAGAACACCGTGCTTCTTTCCATCTTTCTCATTCTTATTACATACTGTGTGTTTAGTCTTACCCCCTCTCTCTCTCACTCTCTGTCTTCCTTCCCGAGTAACAGCTGGAATCTAAAAAGCTCGCCGCGGGGTGGTGTCCCGTTGGCTTCTATCGATGTCCCGTTAGCTCTCCCTCAGACGGCGCTCGTTCCACTGAGCCATGTGCCTGCAGACTGAGGCTTCCCTGGGTGCTACCTGTTCTCCTTGCAGTGATCGTGGGGTTTGTGAGTCCTGAGGTGGGGTGGGGTGGGTGTCTGCTCACCTCAGTCAAATCTCTGTATGTGGGATATCAGCCATTAAAAAAATCCAGACTATTTCAGAGTTAGTCTCTCCCCAACATTCCTCATTCTGGGCTCTCTGCCAGCAGTTTAATGGAGAGATGTCTGATCTGATCCGGAGATTCGGAATAATAACATAATTCACCTTTTAACAGCCTGCTTAAATGTAGCCAGCTGCCCTCCAAACTTTACGCCGCACACGCACCAGGATGTAGCGACAGGCACCCTCTGCTGCCTAAATGTGGTACATGCAAAACTGTGCTGACTGTCATCTAAATATCTGGCAAATGTCTCTTAAATGAGGTTTTATGTGTTCATCTCCACAGCAAGCAGTTCTCTGGTTTTAATTTGTGCCGAGTTCGATAAATATATATATATAATTTATATATAATAAATTGAATATTGAAATATTGGTCACTCCGCAGTAAGGAGCTACAGTTGCTCTAGGAACAGGACAATAGAGAACATTCTCTCTTATTTGCTGTTGTTCCCTTAAGTGAAGATTTTTTTCCCCAGTAGCTCCATTCCCCCAGCTGCAAGTGTTCCATCCAAGAGAGGACTTGTGTGCCCTCACTCCACTTAACTCTGCACTAACCAGGATGAGCTCAAAGAGCTGCGGCACGCTGGTGTGGACCTTACCCATCTTTTTCACTGCACTGCTTGAAGGGAAATGTCATACACAGACATATTAATGTAGCCTAATGTGACCAGCAGCTATATCACTCTGCAACTCCCAGCTGGCAGCCTGACTGAAGCTCAGCAGGTGTGAGCCTGGTCAGTACCTGGATGGGAGACCTCCTGGGAAAAACTAAGGTTGTTGCTGGAAGAGGTGTTAGTGGGGCCAGTAGGGGGCGCTAACCCTGCGGTCTATGTGGGTCTTAATGTCCCAGTTCAGTGTTGGGGACACTATACTGTAAACAGGTGCTGTCCTTCGGATGAAATGTAAAACTGAGGTCCTGACTCTCTGCTCATTACAAATCCCAGGGTGTAACCCTGGCGTCCCGGCCAATATCCCCCTGGCCTTTACCAATCATGGCCTC